AATCTTAAAAAAAAATTATTTTTATTTTACGTGTATGTGTGCATTGCCTCCATGTATGTATCCGTGTCTTGCAATGCTTGCAGAGGACAGAAGAGGGCATTGGATCCCCTGGAACTGGAGTTATAGACAGATGTTAGCTGCCATATGGGTGCTGGGATTCGAACCCGGGTCTTCTGCAAGAACAACCAGTGTTCTTAACCTCTGAGCCATCTCACCAGCCCCTGTTTTTGTCTTTTTGAGACAGGGTCTCCCTGTAGCTCCAGCTGGCCTTGAACTCACTATGTAGATCAGGCTGGCCTTGAACTCACAGAGATCCATCTGGCTCTGCCTCCTGAGTGCTGGAATTAAAGGGGTGTGCCACCACACCCGGCCAAGACCCTTTTTAAATAAAGAAACTTTATTAAGCGTTAAACAACTTGCAGGGATTACTGGAGCAGAAACTGCCCCCAAGCTGACTGGAGTCTACTTCCCTTTCTCATCTAGAACTGGGCCCACTGGAAATTGCCCTCCTCATCATCATGACCTTTCTAACCATGGGCTCAGTTGCCATCTACCTGGAGGATGCCATCTATCTGTACAAGAACATCCTTTGCCCCATCAAGAAGAAGACACTGATCTGGAGTAGCTCTGCACCCACGGTGAGGATGCTGGAGCCGCTCCTGGGAGCAACTAGAGAGGCGGCAGGGCATCGTGAGAATCCCCTAAATTCATTTGTGCCAGGACAGAGTTTCCTGCTGGGTACCATGTAGCACTGAGGGCATGAACTGATCTCCACCCATTTGGAAAGCTAACCACCAGTGGGATTGTGTTCCAACTGGAAAAGGCTGCAGGGACAGCAAGACACTGTTCAGCACCCAGACTCCACTCGCCATTCCCACTGCCGGGGTTCTACTGTCAAAAGCAGGCTGCTAAGGCTCGAGACATGGCTCAGCAGTTAAGAGCAGTGGCTGCTATTGCAGAGGACTGGGATTAAGATCCCAACATGCATATGCTACAGAAAACAGCTAACAACTGTCTTTAACTCCAGTCCCAGGGGATCTTCTGGCTCCCAAAGGCATTGCATATACAGGTGCACTTACATACATACATGCGGGCAAAACGTTCACACACATAAAACAAACAAGCAAAAAAATTTTTTTTTGAGACAGGGCCTCCCTGTAGCCCCAGCTGGCCTGGAACTCACTATGTAGACCAGCCAGGCCTTGAACTCACAGAGATCAACCTGCCTCTGCCTCCTGAGTGCTGGGGTTATTTAAGATTATTACAGATCTCCCTGTACCCCCAGCTGGCCTGGAATTCACTATGTAGATCAGGCTGGGATCTGTCTGCCTTTGCCTCCTGAGTGCTAGAATTAAAGGCATGTGTCACCATGCCCAGCTAAAAATAAATTTTAAAGATTTTAAAAACCTCGGGGCTGGAGAGACAGCTCATCAGTTCAGAACACTAAATGTTCTTGCAGAAGACCCAAGTTCGAATCCCAGCACCCACATGGCAGCTAACAACTGTCCGTAACTCCAGTTCTAGGGCATCCAACTCCCTCTTCTGACCTCCGCAGGCATTGCACAACATGGGTACACTTACACACATGCAGGCAATACACACATACACATAAAATAAAAATAATAAACTATATTAAAAAAAGAATTTTGGCACACTCCTTTAATCTTAGCCCTCCGGAGGCAGAGGCAAGCAGATCTCTGTGAGATCAAGGCCAGTTTGGTCTACATAGTGAGTTCCAGGTCAGCAGTGGCTACAGAGAGACCTTGTCTCAAAAAAAAAAAAAAAAAAAAAAAAAAAAAGAATTTAAAAACCTGGCTGCCCTCCTGCGTGGACAGGATTTCCTTCCCACAGGGTCAGACTCACCACCCTTTTGCTATCTGCCCCTCCCCCTTGTGCATACTAAGTAAGCACTCTACCACTGAGAAATAGCTTTGACAGCTGTAAGCCTTTTAAAAGATTTATATTTATTTTATGTGTATGAGTATTTTGCCTGCATGTATGTATGTATATGTATGTTCATGGAGTGCATGCCAGGTGCCCATGGAGCCAGAACAGGGCATTGGAACAGGAGTTACAGCCCATTGTTAGCCACCATATGGGTGCTGAGAACTGAACCCAGTTCCTCTGGAAGGAGGTACTCTTAACTGCTGAGCCATCTCTCCAGCCCTAGCTATAAGCCTGTTAAAAACTCCAGGCCTGGTGTCACATGCCTTTAATACCAGCATTTGGAAGGCAGAGGCAGGTGGATTTCTGTGAGCTCAAGGCCAGCCTAGTCTACATAGTGAGTTCCAGGCCGCTGGGGCTACAGGGAGACCCTGTCTCCTGTCTCAAAAAAAAAAAAAAAAAAAAAAAAAAAAAAAAAAAAAAAAAAAAAAAAGCTCACACTAATACAGCTATTACAGAAGTCCTTGATCTGTTTAAGGCTATTTTTCCAGCTGCAACTTTTCTTTTCTTAAAATGACTGCATGCACATGATGTGAGATGGGCAGTTACATGTGTCACGGTGTACATGTAGAGGTCAGAAGAAAACTCTGTGGAGAGCTGGTTCTTTCTTTTCACCCTTATGTAGGTTGTGGAGATCAAACTCTGTCCCAGGCTTGCATGGATAGCACCTTCACCCGCTGAGCCATCTCACCAGCCCCAGTTCACTTCTTTTGCTGGTGCTGGGCACAAAACACAGGGCCTTTTATGTGTTCTACCTCTGACCCGTATTCCCTGCCCCACCAGCTAGCAAGTCCTAAGGACTAGTGCCTCAAATGCACAGGTCTTGCTTCTTGGAGTGATCTTGCTCCCACTCCTCAACCTGCGTCTTGCTTCCCTGCAAGCAGGTAGTGTCTGTGTTCTGCTGCTTTGGGCTTTGGATCCCTCGCTCCCTCACAGTCGTGGACATATCCATTACCGCGTGAGTGTCTGGCCCCACCCCCACCTCTGGGGATGGGCATCTCTTTGGCGTCCTTTTCTAATCCCCAGACCTCTAAAGTCCATGCCCTCAATCCCAGTAGAGCTCCTGAGCTTCTGGTTCCGCTCGGGGAATGCCTTATTTGGGCACATTCTGTAGCCACTTCTTTGTTCCCAGAGCCTCAGAGTGCCTCTCCCAGTCCTCTGGACCCCATTTTCTCTCTTGCTCCTCTAGGGTCATGCATCCAGAATGCTGGTCTTCCCCTGAGTGAGTCCCACTTCTCTCCCTGCAATCTTTATCTCTTCAGCAGCAAAGGGGCGCTCTGGGATGTTCTTGCCCCCATAGCTGCAAACTTGCTTCTCCTCCCCAGATTTTATGCCGTTTGTTTTTATCTGCTGATGCTGGTTATGGTTGAAGGCTTTGGTGGGAAGGAGGCAGTCCTGAGAACCCTAAAGGACGTCCCAATGAGGGTGAACACCGGTCCCTGCTGCTGCTGCTGCCCCTGTTGCCCGCCCCTTCTGCTCACCAGGTAAGGCAGGAGCAGGGCATCCCAGAGGCATGTGAGTCTGTAAGGGGTGTGAGATGTGCAAGTCTGTAAGCCCGCTTCAAAGGCTCTTGGAATTAGGCCTGTATGAGACAGTGCCAATGATAAAGTAGGCCTCCCACAGCCAGGACCCCCACATAGGAGGGGAGAGCAAAGGGATTCCCATGCTAGTGCCCTGCACATTTTAGCTGCAAAGAGGAAACTGTACTTTGGGCATTTCTTTGCCCCTCCTGTCCGTCCATTTTGCTTAATGAATTTGAGGTCAACAGTCTGAGCTCCTGCTCAACAGACCAATTGGAGGGGAGTGGGGGACAAGGAGGGGTCCCAGAACTCTCAAGACACCCCTGTCACTGTCCATGAAACATTTTTGGTGTCATGCTGGCAGCCTAGTCTTAGAACAAAGGGGTTGGAAGGTCTTCTTGGGGTGGGTAGTTAGTGGGTCCATATACCTAACCCTCTTTCTCCCTCAGAAAGAAGCTTCAGCTGCTGATGTTGGGCCCTTTTCAATATGCCTTCTTCAAGATAGTGATGGGCCTGGTGGGCCTGTTTCTCATCCCGGACGGCATCTATGACCCAGCAGATGTAAGCCAAAAGGAGATGGTGGCAAAGTCCAAGACCACTTAGTACTTCTGGGTTCTAGAATTAGTAGCTGGAGCCAGTACCCAGTGACAAAGAGCCCAGGGACAGGGTGGCTATGGAAAAGCTGTAGTCCAGGGAATATGGCGGGAAGAGAGAGTGTCAAGGCTTTGGGCCTTTGTGTTACCTTTCTTGATGTGGAAGAGGAGAAATGAAAGGAGGGCAGGCTTCCCTCCCTCACTGACTGCTTCCCACCAGATCTCTGGGAAGAGCACAGCTCTGTGGATCAACAATTTCCTTGCTGTGTCAGCCCTACTGGCTCTCTGGTCCCTCGCCATCCTTTCCCGTCAAGCTAAGATGCACCTGGGTGAGCAGAACATGGGAGGCAAATTTGCTGTGTTCCAGGTAACTATACCAAAGAAAAGGTGCTCGATAACAGAGCTACGAAAGATTTGGGTTAGGGCTAACAAAGGCGAACACTCAGATTGAAGGTCCTAAGTCTTAGGTTTCCTGTGAGAACTGGAACATTGGACATTATCTCTACCTTTCTTCCCTTTTATTTTATTTTGCCTTTCTGTGCTGTAATGGGGTTGCCATAACAAAATATCACAAACTAGGTAGCTTAAAACAACAGAAATGTGGGCTGGAGAGTTGGCTCAGTGGTTGAGAACACTGACTGTTCTTACAGAAGACCCAGGTTCAAATCCCAGCATCCACATGGCAGCTAACAACTGTCTATAACCTCAGTTCCAAGCGATCTGATGGTCTCTTCTGTCCTTCACAGGCATTGCATGACACAGGTGTACTTACATACATGCAGGCAATATACACATACACATAAAGTAAAAATAATAAATTTTTTAAAAATTAAAAAAAAAAAAGGCTGGGTGTGGTGGCGCATGCCTTTAATCCCAGCACTTGGGAGGCAGAGGCAGGCGGATCTCAGTAAGTTCAAGGCCAGCCTGGTCTACATAGTGAGTTCCAGGCCAGCTGGGACTACAGGGAGACCCTGTTTCAAAAAGACCCCCCCCCAAAAAACCCAAAACAGAAATGTATCTCACAGTTCTAGAAGCTGGAAGTCCAAAATCAAGGTGTTGGCCAGGACCATTCTGTCTGGCACCTGCCTTGGAGAACCCAGCTTGCCACTTCCTCTCTGGTATTGGCCAGCAGTCAATGGCTAATGGCAGTGGTAACGGCTGCTTTAAACATTCTCATGTGATCTAAGCAGATGTCACCCCTGTGTGATTTTTTTAAGCACATTGCAGGCACTCCTTGCAGTCGGTGGTCCTTGGCCATTAGCCGCATCATTTCAATTTCTGCCTCTATCATCACACGACTTTCTCCAAGTGTTGGTGTCACTATTTCTATGACTAGTCAATAAACAGGGCACATCTTACTCTATTAACCTTACCTTAATTATAACTCAGTTCTTCGTAGGGTCACATTCTAAAATACTAGGGGTCAGAACTGGAATAGATCTTTTTGGGACACAATTCAACCCATAACACATGCATTGCAATACCTTCTTAAATGTTTCTATTACTTTCTAAAATCCTATCAACACCACAACAGTAGTATTAACATAGCTATCACTGTCTATACTATGTGCTAAGCACTTTTCATCTATTCCATGTAAATTTTTGCCACTATCTTATGAGCTATCAGTATTCCTATTTTACAAAAGAAAGATCCTAAGACCTAGAAACGGTGATGAGACTTATTCAAAGACCAATAAGTGATGAGGCTAGAATTTACACCTGAATCTCACTCCCAAGCCCACATTCCTCCTTCTCATCACACCGCCTCCTCATCCTCATAACTGTGAAGTCTCTCAAAGGTGCACTGTGCACCCTCCGTGCTTTGGATCTGCTCAGCCCAACGCTGGCTTCTAACCCAGCCTGGTTTTCCTTCTGTCTGTCTGCTGGCCCCTTCTGCTCTAAGACGTAATGGCTGCTTTAAACATTCTCATGTGATCCAAGCAGATGTCACCCCTGTGTGATTTTTTTTTTTTTTGTCTCCCTGTAGCCCCAGCTGGCCTGGGACTCACTATGTAGACCAGGCTGGCCTTGAACTCACAGAGATCCACCTACTTCTGCACCACCACACCCAGCATTGCCTGTGTGATTTTTTTTTGGTCTTTTTGAGACAGGCTCTCTGTAGCCCCAGCTGTCCTGGCCTGTGTGATCTTTTAAGCACGTTAAAGACACTCCTTCATCCCACTAGCTTCATCTTTGATTTCATCATCTTCATCTCCATTTTTCTTGTGGTGAAATACATGCTCACTGAACTTTACCATCTTCATGCTTTTTTAAGGGCTTAGCTCTGTGATAGTGAGGACATTTCAATCGTGTAATCAGCATTACCCACGTTTAGAACTTTTTCATCTTCTCCAGATGAAACTTTGTGTCCATTCGGCACTAACACTCCTGCTTCTCTGTCCCCCACCCGACATGTCAGTTTTATTTTTTATTTATTTTTTTTCCTGCATGTAAGTGCACCCATATTGTGCAATATCCACAGAGGTCAGAAGAGGGTGTTGGATGGAAGTTATGGACAATTGTTAGCGGCCATGTGGGTGCTGGGAACTGAACCCAGGTCTTCTGCAAGAGCAGCCAGTACTCTAAACCACTGAGCCATCTCTCCAGGCCAACATGCCAGTTCTTTGTTTTTAAAAAGAAAATTTTTAATTTCACGTGTATGAGTGCATTGCCTGCATGTATGCAAGTGCATCCATGTTGTGCAATGCCAATGGAGGTCAGAAGAGGGTGTAAGATCTCCTGGAACCAGCTGGTTGTTAGCTGCCATGTGGATGCTGGGATTCAAACCCATGTCCAGTGCTCTTAACCGCCAAGCCATCTCTCCAGCCCTGGCAACATGCCAGTTTTAAAAGGACATCTTAAAGGTTAACTGTCCATCACTGCAGGTACAGGGATCTTAGCCACTTCAGCTAGATGCCATTGAGTATCTGATGGTAGCCATGAGAGAAAGAGATAAGCTGTTTCCTATAAACAATTCTAATAAATATTAGGTAGAAAACAATAATTTTCCTTAAGATTAAAATCCCACAAATTTTCAGTGAGGTGTGAGTCACAAGCCTGTGTAACTACACAAATCTGATGGTAGATCAAATTTGGAATTTGCACTGGCCTCAGCGGCAGCGGTGTCAAATATCAGTCTTCTCGCCTCTCTCCTGTTCAGGTGCTTGTCATCCTGACTGCCTTGCAGCCTGCCATTTTCTCCATCTTGGCCAATGGTGGGCAGATTGCTTGTTCACCTCCCTTTACGTCTAAAATCAGGTCTCAAGGTAAGCACTTAGGGCTCCTGTTCTGTGTTGTGGGTGAGACTGGGACTGCATTCAGGGGGAAGAGGACCTTGGAACAGAGGTTAAGCCAGGCTCAGAATATTCAGAAAGGATCTCCAAGAAATCAGGGCAGAAGCCCTGAGGAGACTCACCTCTCTGATAATAGAGACCTGCACCGTCCCTGTTTGAAGCCAGTCCTGATGGCCAACCCAGGAAGCAAGGGGTTCAGTCCTCAACTCCTAGGACAGGAATGGGTTTGGTTAGAAAGCAGGTCATGCTGATTAAATGTACATACTGTTCTTAGATCACAGGTAGAGAGCCAAGTTCTGGCTTTACCATTAATTGGCTGTGTTCCTTGAGTTCAGTATCCCCAGGTCTTGGTTTGGAGATAAACTGGAGTGTTTCTCAGCTTATATGCCAGGGATGCTAATGGAACCCACCTCAATGCAGCATAACCTCTGTTGTATTTCACCCCACACTACAGTGATGAACTGCCATATGCTCATAATAGAGACTTTCCTGATGACTGTGTTGGCACGAATGTACTACCGGAAGAAAGATGAAAAGGTTGGGTATGAAACCTGCTCATCACCAGACCTGGATTTGAAACTCAAAGCCTGAGGAGAACCAACAATAGAAGAGATACCATCCTACCATACTCCTCAGGAGAACATGAGATTTCTGTACTATCTCTCTACCTTGACCAAATGAGAAATGATTCCCATTGTCAGCATAAGCTGGCTAGTTACATATGGCTATAGGGATGAAGGTAAACTAGGCAACAGGATGAAACTGTTTGGAATCTTGCCCAGGGAAGGTATTTTAAGTTTTGTCATAAACTAACAAGATAGAAGTCTGAGACTTCAACACTAGGCACATTGTTTCTGTGGGTGCCACTATTTACCCCAACAGTACATATGTTGAAAGGTCACTCTGAGCTTTTACACAGCACAATAAAGAGAAAAGTACATGGTATATGTATGGTTTGTCTGATATAAGACTTTAGAACTTGGCAAAAAGCAGCAGCCCAAGTTTCTCAAGCCAGGCTCTTCAATGGAAGATGCTTTCTTTTACAGATGTGTCAGTAGGGCACTAATGACAACAGGCTGGGAAGGTCTGAGTTTCCCCTGTAAGACAAGAGCTTTTTGAATTTTCTTGGACAAGCTGCAAAAGGAATTGCTTCTTGTTTTGGGGTTTTTTGGGGGGGTCTTTTTGAGACAGGGTCTTCCTGTAGCCCTAGCTGGTCTGGAACTATGTAGGCCAGGCTGGCCACGAACTCACAGAGATCTGCCTGCCTCTGCCTCCTGAGTGCTGGGATTAAAAGAGTGTGCCACCATACCTGGCTGGAACTGCTTCTTTTTTCAAATATATATATTTTATTTTTTTATTTTATGTGTATGAGTGTATTGCCTGCATGTATGTAAGTACACCCATGTTGTGCAATGCCCGTGGAGGTCAGGAGAAGGCATTAGGGGATGGAGTTATGGATGGTTGTTAGCCACCATGTGGGTGCTGGGAATTGAACCTGGGTCCTCTGCAAGAGCAGTCCATGCTCTTAACTGCTGAGCCATCTCTACTTTCAGCCCCTGGAACTGCTTCTTAATATGGCCATGAACTTGATCTTAAGGGGAAAAATTGGTGCAAAATCAAAGGAACTGAGGAACAAGCAAAAGCCCCCAATACTTAAAACACTATACACATGTATACCAGGTCAAAGTCACAGGAAACAGAAGCAAGAGGGAAAACCACATTGCCTTTATTTGGCTAAATGACAAAAGCCAAAATGACTCTGAACAGTTTAATAGACAGGAAAATGATATGCAAACTTCAGCTTCAGGAGATGTCCGCATGGACTTGCACTGGTGATGGGTGAATGTCCACGCCATAGCATGTAGCTCTTTCAACACTTTCTCCTGTTCAGGATCCTCAACACAAAGCACCCAACCAATTCTTACGCTGTCAGTTCCTCCCCAAAGGGAGGAAGTCCCACTTCAAACCTAAAGAACACAGCCTGAGTCATCCAAACCCTCAGGCTGGCAGTTTTCTTCTCCACCCCAGTTTGTGTGCTAACATAAAACTTTGGCAGACACCGGGCGTGGTGGCGCATGCCTGTAGTCCCAGCACTTGGGAGGCAGAGGCAGGCGGATCTCTGTGAGTTCAAGGCCAGCCTGGTCTACATAGTGAGTTCCAGGAAAGCTGGGGCTACAGGGAGACCCTGCTTCAAACATACAAACAAACAAACAAATCAGCTGCAATGAGGAAAAAAAAAAAAAACTTTGGCAGACAGAAAAATCTTCTCTTTTTTGAGGGTAATTAGCATTTAATAGTATTATAATTCCAGAACATGCTCTACTTATTTTGAAAAATAGTAGCTAGGGACCACTCTTTAGCCATGATAATCTATTCTATGAGAAAACAACAACCATTTTTATGACTTTGAAAAATATAACCTTTAAAAATACTTGTATTGGTAAGCTTTAAAAATACCATTAGTTTTTAAAACATTGTTAAGAGAGCTTTTTCTTTGAACCTGCATTAGTTCAACTTCTGGTGCATGTAAGCTGACAGGTATCTAGAAACTATGACTTTGAGGAATTAAAGCAAAGCAGGGACCCAGGACTGATTTGGGAAGGGATTTGGGAAGATTTAGGAACTGATTTGGGAAGAATTGATATGGAGCAGGGTTTAAGAAGGTAAAGGTAAGAAGGTAAGCTACCCACGAGTGAAGAGATGCAGAAACAGAGTACCAAGAAGAACCTCTGTGGAGGCGGAGGCATCCTAGACGGCCTGAAGGGCTGTGGCCACAAGGTAAACAAGAGTAACTTGGGTGCTGCCTAAATTATCAGTGACTAGAAAAGGTCAAAGGCCTCTCAACCTTCCCTTTTGTGGTTTTTTTTTGAGTCTTTTTGAGATAGAGTCTCCCTGTAGCCTCAGCTGGCCTGGAACTCACTATGTAGACCAGGCTGGCCTTGAACTCACAGAGATCCGCCTGCCTCTGCCTCCCAAGTGCTGGGACTACAGACTTGTGCCACCACCCAGCACTTTCCTGTGATTTTCACTCTTCACATTCCCAGCCTTCTCAAGCTCTGCAGAGGGCCAGCCTTTCTTTGGCTTAACTGTCAGAGGCAGCTGCTTCAGCACTAATGATCCATTTCTTGTTTCTCTAAAGTTGCAGCTTCTGCTTTTCAGTCTCATGAGCGTAGTGTATGACAAAAGCAAACTTCTTGCCTTGGCTCCCTCTCAGCACCAGCTAAAAAGCCTTGGTCTTCAACTCTTTCCTATGGTAGAGGCTCCAAGGCCAAACAGCTAAGGTTCTTCCATCTTTACCACACCCAACCCTTCCATGCTGCCTGCTTTCTCATGTGGGACTCAGGGAAACAGCTCCAGAGCTGAGGTTGCACAGGCTCAAGCATTCATATTGAAGAGGTGAAGATTAGTCAGAGCCATAGTGTTCACACCCTTAACTACATTTAACTAGGAACAAGTGCTCAATAGTGTGTCACTCCAGCAGCACCCTGTTCAAGCACCCAAGTATCTAACATATCATACAAGTTTTTGCTGATGTCCAAATTATCTGAAAATATGAGTGTTAGGAGACAGTAAAGGAGGGGGCATTCCAAGAACAGGTACGCAGGCCAGCCTTAGCTATATCACCCCCCAGTGTGGGGTTCAAATTGTGGGGTTCAAATATTTGGGACCCAGACAATACAGCTGAGGAATGACTACACAGTGATGTCATCACCTTTGTATACAACGGACAACGAGGCAGAGAGAAACAGGCAGAGTTCCTCCAAGAGAAGACTGTAGTACAAAATAAGCCGTATAAAGCTGTAGCATACAGAAACACTAATTTCAACTGTTTCAAAGACAGGATTTGAGACCAAAGCCATTTGGACCAGAGCTGACAGTGAAAACAGCACTCCATGAAAAGTTAGAATGGAGTTGCCACAGGCCACAGGACAAGACATTGCACATCTTTGCCCCCTCCTCCTCTGTGCTTTACCTGCCGGGGTGACATCAGTTCAGGAGCCTAGGTAGTCCTGTTGTGCTGTCAGGCTGTGGAGCTAGCCTGGGACCCTTAAGCGGCAGTACAGCTTTCTACCAGAAAGTGTTCAGGGAGGACTATAAAATGCTCACAGTCCTAGCAGAAGTATAAGAAAGGAGAAAATGTGCTTCTCTGCTGAAAACACTAAGGCTCCACCCCCACAAGGGGTATCTGAGTGACAAAGAATGAGCATAAACAATTTTGCCCTTAATCCAACTACAGGATTACTGGTGGTAATGATCCTCCAGGCCATGGAGCTGAGATGGGATGTAGGGGGACTAAAAACATCAGATCATGTTCAGTAGCAAGTGCCAAGAATCAGCATTCTTTGATTTGAATTCAAGTACTGGATTCCCCTTGAGCAACCTAACAGGTGAGGTGGGATCATAACCACAAGGCACAGATGGGCCAGAAAGAGAATCTCTTTATGCTAGTAATTTAGCCCATGCTCGCGGCTTTCTGGAGGAGCAGTGGAAGAAGTCCCTGCCAGTTGCAGCCCTTAAAAGAAAGGAGACTTCATAGGGTATTGATTCTACTTAAGAATATTCTTAAGAGGGGTAGAGATCCAGGTAAGGCTGTTTCAGGAATGAGTGTTTCCTTACGCTTATGCCTGTGTGCCCTATGAAAATCCAAGTATTAATATGGCAGTAAGCAACATGGATCAACAGATAAAGTTCAAGCTACAGACATTTACAGAGTATCCTTAGTATAAATCCAGGAGATAGCAATGAAACAGGAGTTGCGGAGCTAGGGACTTATCCCTGCAGAAACTCCATCTCAGCTGACTTTGCACTGGACTGTTTTGTTACACTCTCCTCTCCAATCACAGTAACTCTCAACATGTTCCTTCCTTTACAGGTAGGTTGCAGGAAACAAACTAACAAGAACTCCCAAATAATTGGGCAACAGAATTTTTCTGAGAAGATGAACACAGCAGAAAATCTACAGTCAACGCTCTGTGGTTTGGTTCCATCCCCATCAGTATCTTCATGGACCCCATTGGGTCCAACAAGAAACTCCACAGGGAGTAACAAAAGTTAGGCTCAGATCTTCTCCTTCCACAGCCATGCTGACACATGTGCCAGCAGTACAGTTAAGGGACTTGGGACTAATTCAGCTTTGAGATTTTAAGGAAACCAAAATTACAATATTCCCCCCAAATGACCCATCAGCATGGCTTACTGTTTGAAGGACCTGGCAAGCCACTTTGCTTCAGAACAAAAGGCAAATACTAGTGTCTCAGGAAGAAAAGGCCTCTGGGTATAACATACTTCCTTCTTCTGCCCACTCCTCAGGAGAAAAAAATTAGTTCTACTCACTGTATTTGAAAGACTAGTTTTTTAAAAAATTAATAAAAATGACTATCTCCCTGTCAAGCATAAACAGTAAAGCAAAGTCCTTGGGGAGGGAGACGGATGCACAGAGGGCTTCTAAGCTGAGTCAGCCTCCTTGGTGTGGGCGATGCTGGCTGTTAGGGCAAGGGCTGTTTGGGTTCCCCCATTCCCAGGTCCTCTTGCCCCATTTGTCTTTTCTTTGTAGATGTCCTTGGGTTTAGTGTTGGGATCACAAAGTGGAATTCGACAGAGAGCTTATGAAGGTTCTGGGACAGAGGGAGGGGAGAGGAAAGGAGGGATGAAACCTAGTCTTCTTCATCCTCACTGATGTCACAGGTCACAGCATTGTGCTTAGAGAGACTTGCTGGGAAGGAAGATGGGGAAGTCTTGCCAGAGAAGGGCCACCGGAAGGAGGGGGATGGGGAATGCTCCCGAGTAGGGCTGCTGCTGGGGCTCTGCTTGGGACTGATGGCCTGCAGCATTCGGCCTTTTCCCTCTTTCAGCATATGTTTCTAGGGAGGGAGATCAAAAGAAAGAGTTAGAAGATATCTATGGACCACATGGATCACCACTGGGGCACTTGAAACCTCAATTATCATGAATGCTCCCTGAAATTTTTTTTCATTGTCAGGGTTCAAAGCTAGGGTTTCAAGTATCCTAGGGTAACACTCTACCACTGATCTGTATCCCTAGCCCCTACAAATGCATGACTGAACAGCCCAGAGGAGAGATATCACTATAATTCTTAGCAATTTCCCCTCCACATTATATTATTTAACACTTTCTGTCTGCTCTCCACAGTCGGCAAGTCTTTTACTTCTATCAAAGAAATTCTTCAAAGGCTACTTAGTCTGTACTCTAGGTTCCTGGCAAAAACAAACGAACTCAGACAAAAAGGTATATACAGCCAAGTTTTCAAGTTCTCAAAAGGAAATTCCACATTTCCTTCAAATAATCTGTTCTAGTATTGAAATACCCTAGAGCCAGATTTTTCTTGATGTTTACGTTGAGTTCACTAATGGAATCTTTTACTTGGTTTGAAGATGTGTTATTCCTCAAGAATAGACTCCCACCTCATCAGGGAACCACACAGCAGCTCTCTGGTAGTGAGGCAGCTTTCTCTCTACTGTCCTCTATTCTTTCCTTCTCTTCCACGTAAAGCTACAATATAGAAGCAATGGGTGAGGCGACCCTTTTATCTTGTCTCCAGATTCCAAGGTGGATAGAGAGCTGGCAAAATTATCTAGGAAGATGTATAACTACATTAGACAACTACACTTCATTTTGATGCCCCTTTCTGCTTAAGGATTCTATATTTCTTTTTATTAACATGAAACTTCTCTTGAATTTGCAGAGCACTTACAGAAAACTGAGGCGGAATGATCACAAGCTCAAGGCAAGTTCAAAGCTGATCTGAGCAAATTTAGGGAGACCCTGACTCAATAAACAAACAAACAAAGCTAAGGATACAGTACAGTGGTAGAGTGCTTGCTTAGCATGCATCAGGCCCTGGGTTCCATCAGCAGAAAAAAAAAAAGAAAAGAAAAGAAAGAAAAGGAGGAGCTGGGGAGATGGTTACTGCTCTTTCAGAGCATCTGAGTTTGGTCCCAGAACCCACATTGGGCAATTGACAACCACCTCTAACTCCAGGGGATCCAATGCCTTTTCTGGCCTCTGCAGACAGCTACACTCACAGTGCACACACCCATACACAGGAGCATACATATACATAATAATTAAAATAAATTCTAAAAAATAAAAAAATCTCCTGCATTTCTCTGAAATTCCTTGCAGTGTCTAGAAGGGAAGATTCATACCAGTGCTCCTTCTGGACCAAACATTTCCAGGAAACTTCCAATGAATTCTCGGGACTTTTCCTCCCACTTCTGGATGAGGTCAATGCTTTTTTCTTCCACTTTCTGCACAAATTCTTTTGATTTTTCTTCTACATCTTTCACTTTCTTCTTCACTTTGTCAACCCGCTCTTGCAAGTGGTATTTCTTCTCCTAGGTAAAGAAATAACTTTCTAAGAAATAATACCCATCCTGACCTTTCTTGGCTACTGATACTGCTCTCAGTCTTTAGAATTCTACTTTACTTTAATTCATCCTATATTTATGTAGTATAATAACAGAAAAGATATTCTCTGGGCAGCAATCTTATACAAAAGTGTGATAATTGGGGGCTGGAGAGATGGCTCAGCAGTTAAGAGCACTGAATGCTCTTGTAGAGGACCCGGGTTCGATTCCCAGCACCCACATGGCGGCTGTGAACCGTCCTTAACTTCAGTTCCAGGGGAATCCAAAGCCCTCTTCTGATTTCTACAGCATTGCACGACATGGGTACACTCACATACATGCAGGCAGTACACTCATACACAGAAAATAAAAGTAATAAATAAAATATTTTTAAAAGGTATGATAACTTTAATATTGTAGACTAAGCTAAATAAACAGGCGAGGGCCAGTAACAAATAGGCATGCAACCAAATGAAGTCAAATTTCTAAAAGATAAGTCTAAATTTTGTAATATAAATATGCCTACCTATATGGAGATGTACAGGCACCAAAATCACTGCACAACATCTAAGAAGCAGTTATGCAGACTCAACATGGAAATACTAATTAATTAATAATTATTTGGACTTCCCCTTTAGTGTTAGTTCCATGATTTTTAGATAAATTTTGTTTTATTTTTATGTGTGTATATGTGTGTGCACACATGTGTATAGGCCAGAGGCTGACATCAGGTGTCTCTCTCAATCACTTTCTATCTTATTTTTCTGAGACAGGGTCTCTCACTGAACCTGGAGCTCACCTTGGCTAGGCTTGTTGACCACTGAGTTCCAGGAATCCTCCTGTCTCCACCTCCGCAGAGCTAGAATTACAGTGCATTGCCATGCCCAGTTTTTGTTTTTGTTTTTTTTGGGGGGGGGTGCACTCTTTTGGTTTTGGGTTTTTTGTTTGTTTGTTTTTTAAAACAGGGTCTCACTATGTAGCCCTGACTGGCCTGGAACTTGCTATGTAAACCAGGCTGGCCTCATACTCATAGATATTTACCTATCTCTGCCTCTTAAGATCTGGGATTAGAAGGATACAACACCCACCCATGCTTGGCTTTTATGTGGATACTGGGGATTCAAAATCAAGTCCTCATGTTTGCATAACAAGCCTGCTATTAAATGAACCATCTTCATAGCTCATGTGTTATGTTTTGGAGATCTACTTGCTCATCTGAAAAATGATGAAAGAGTTGGTCCTACTAACTCTCCTAAATATTAGGGTAAAATGGTATGAATCCGGGGCTAGAGAGATGGCTCAGCAGTTAAGAACAGTGGTTGTTCTTGCAGAAGACCCGGGTTTGAATCACAGCACCCACATGACAGCTAACAACTGTCCATAACTCGGTCCCAGGGGATCCAACAGCCTCTTCTGTCCTCCGTGGGCATTGCACCATAGAGGTGCACTTACCTACATGCAGGTAATACAAGCATACACAAAAAAATAAATAAATAAAAAATTTTAAAAATGGTATGAATCTTCTAATGGAGGGGGAGGAATATTCAGTCAAATGAAAAGTATTCTATCAGCTGGAGCTGAGCATGGTGGCATTTGTCTATAATCCCAGTACTGAGGAGGCTAGGGCAGGAGGCTCATAAGCTCCAAGATCTTTTGTTAAAAACACAAAACAAAAAAAGTAGTTTCATAATTTTTATATGATAAATAAGAAAGGAAAAGAGCCAGGGTATATAGCTTAGTGGTATAACATGTACTTATATGCATAACGTGAAGGAGGAAAGAGAGGAAGAAGGGGTTTTTTGTTTGTTTGTTGTTTTTCTGAAGTGAAGCCTTGACATGTAGCTCAGACTAGCATCAAATCTCACATTTGCAATCCTCCTACCTCAGTCTCCCCATGTGCATCACATTACAGATGTGCACCACCATGCCTGGCTCACCAACTGGGTTTTTGCTTATTTGATTTTTTTGCTTTTTTACAGCCATGCTTGGCTTTTATGTAGGTACTTACTGGAGACTCAAACTTAGGTTCTCATGTTTGCATAACAAGCCTTCTATTAAATGATATATAACCCTGGTTCATTTGGAACAAACTATGTAGCACAAAGTGATCTTGAACTTAAAATGATCCTCCTGTCTTTGCCTCCAAAATACTGGGGGTACAGGCATGTACCATCAAGCCCAGTTCTGGCTCATCTATTCACTGAGCTGGGGGCAGGTGAAGGAGTGTGGTTAACTGGTTATTTTGTACAATATAGTTTGTAGATTTCTACTTAAATCAATTTTTTATTGAGACACTGTTTATATAGAGAGAGCATTTCTAAAAGTCAGTATTAAGCAAAAATAAACTTGACCTGTATGGATCTGTTTTTGAGATAAACCCTGCTAGGTAGCCCAAGTGGGGAAACTAAAATGTGCGTCAGCAGCCACACAGAGAAAGGACATACACTTTCATCACATTTGAAAAGAACACCCAAACAAAGTTAAGAACCACTGTTTCAGATGTATTTATATAAACAGTGCACTACATAAAATTTAGGGTTTTTTGTCGTTGTTTTTTTTTTCGGTCTTTGAAACAGGGTCTCCCTGTAGACCCAGCTGGCCTGGAACTTATGTAGAGGCCTTGAACTCACAGAGATTCGCCTGCCTCTGCCTCCCAAGTGCTAGGACTACAGGTGTGTGCCACCATGCTTGGCAGTTTCATTGGTTTTTGAGATGGGGTGTCAGGATATTCTTGCCTCTACCTCCCAACTGCTACGATTATAGACATGCTTAATTTTTACATTCCTACTTATTTAATTGGTTGCATGTTCTTGTATCAATATGTTGGTATTAGTCCATGAAGGCAGAAATTGCCCTAGGTTGTTCTCTTTGTGATTTGCTTAGTGTGGAATTACCTGCAAAGCAGGATGCTTTGTTTTCAAAATGATAATCACAGCAAACTGAAAAACAAGTTCATCTCAAGAGTGGGAGGCAGTATGCTATGGATGAGGTTGGAACTCACGTTGATGAAGCTGACATTAAGCTCCTTTGCTGTATAGCCTCTCTGGAGGTTCCGTCTTGCATATACATCATAGTCTCGGACAATCCGGGTAATGATATCTGATGTGGAGATACCTTCTGTCCTCTGTGTTGGAGCAAACATGCCTAACTCAAAACACATACAGATAAACACTGTGAAGTTATGGTACACCAGCAAGAGGACCAGGCAGAGACTGGGGGCAATATTCCTTTACTTTCCACCAAAAGCAGATTCCATTATCACTAAGTGAAATCTGGAGATCCTGGCACACAGAAGGAGGCATGAATCAAGAGCTAGAAGAGGAGGCACTACATTGTCCTAATATTAAAAAAAAAAAAAAAAAAAAAGGAACTAGAGAAATGTCCTAAATTTAAGGGAGATATTAAAATTATACCATATTAATATTTAGACCTAGAACTGATAGATGTCATTTACATTGCTATCTACAATTTGATCAGAAAGAGAAACTGAATTTTTCAATACACAGCTTTCCCCTGTAAAGCAGTGTCATAGCTGGATCTCTGAAGTTGCCAAAGACCCCGTAAATTAAGGCTGGACATCAACTCACTCACCTGCTTCCTTGATGTGCTTGTAAACATCATCACTCCCAGCAGAAGAGTAAGGGATATCATCATGGGCTACGAAATCAATCTGAAAATAGGGAAACATCATTTCAACCCCAGGATAACTGTCATTCAGAAAGACCCTATAAATATTCTCAGGTTTAGAAAAATGAAAACAAGCAGAGGCTATGTGAAAAAAAAAAAAAGCACAAAACAAACCTTTTTTCTTTCTCTTGGCTTTCATCATAAATTCCATGATCAAGTCACAAACCACCCAATCTATTTATGGTTTATCCAAATGAAGTTAGCCAGTTTCTTTTCTAGCTATTTCTCCTGGTCTAAAAGAAGAGCTACTCTTCCCTCTGTATGCTAGTCCCTGCTGTGGTAGTGAGGGAGGAAGATCTTGTGGTGAGCCAGCTAGTAGGCAAGTCTAGGAAAGAAGGAAATTTCCCTACCTCCTGGGTCTGTAAGAACATGTCAAGTCAGGTATGGTGCCTCATGCCCATCAGCACTGGAAGGCAGAGGCAGGTAGATCTCTGTGAGTTCCAAGGCCAGCCTGGTCTACATAGTGAGTTCCAGGCCAGCCAGAGCTACCAAGTGAGATCCTGCCCTCAAAAATAAAATAAATAAATAAATAATAGATAAATAATAAAATAATGGGTCAAATAGGGTTTCTAAAAGTGTGTGAAAGAGAGGTCACTTCTTGGTTAATTGCTTTTTTCTCCTAGTTCCTAAGAAGAGGATGAATATAAAAACAGCAACTAAGAGTCCTTTTATAGGAATAGACACCTGTCTTACTGAGAAATGCAAATCCCAAAGCTATAAAAGGAGTAGCGTTTATCATTGTAGTACTGTCAGTACACTTCACAGAAGTAGGAAGATTAACAGCACCAGGATCAATCATCTTTTTGAGAGACAAGTTAAACCTCAGTGACTCCTTCTCAATAGCCATTAGGCCTTTGGTAACATAATTACTAACACCACCATGCCCAACTCCCAAAAGCTCTGTGCTATGAAGTACTCTCATCAGGACAGAAGCTAACATCTCAATTACCCATGGACAACTTTTCAGGGCACCAAAGTCAAGAATCTGAGGCAAGTAAGACAGTGGTTGAGATTTACTTCTGAAGAGGAGAAAAGGGAAGTTTCAAGTTCCTCTAACCTGAAACATCTGCCTGGACTTGCCTGTGTTGCTGAAAATAATCTTATCACCTTTGGTGCCACTATTAAGTGTTGATGTAGCAAATCTAGGGAACTATAAAAAGTCTGTCCTGGGCCAGAGAGATAGATCAGCCAGTAAAAGTGCAGTGCCTGCTTCCAAGCCTGATGACCTGAGTTCAGAATCCAGGACCTACATGTTTGTCTTCTGACCTCTGCATGTGTGCCATGTGCTCACATATATATGCACAACACACACATGCACAAAATAAATAAGATATAATAAAAGGTCTGTCCTAATCCTAAATAGTTAACAGTAAATCTCCACTAGCCTCTGGCTTACTCAAGTACTACTCTGAAGCACTTCTGGCTACCTTTGATCTTTCCTGCCTCACTGAACAATTCTCCTACAACACTTCATACACCCATGCAGAAAAGTGACAATATGCACACTGGTTTCTCAAGCTTGAGGGTCTCTAACATAGTGTGATAAATCCATTCTTTTATGTCCACCTTTGTAAGAAGTGTAACTTTAATGTGGGAGAATTCAATGGAGGTAAAAGAGCTTTAAAGTAATAATTTATTATTTGAATAAGAGTGAGAAGCACCCTTGATTTCTGAACCCACACAACTTCTAGCCCAAATCAAAGCCTTGAAAAAAAACAACACAAGCAAAGCCTATGTTAATTAATAATGTGTTAATTCCTAGAATATGAACTTTTTCACTTTTTAAATTCATTTTTGCTTATCTTCTTGTTTAAGTGTTGGTTTTATTTTAATATTTTATTGCTTTTTTTCTGGTCTTTTGAGACCAGGGTTTACCTATAGCCCCAGCTGGCCTGGAACTCACTGTGTAGACCAGGCTAGCCTTGAACTCACAAAGCTCTGCCTGCCTCTGCCTCCTGAGTGCTGGGATTAAAGGCATGTGCCACCACACCCACTTTATTGCTCTTTTTAAAAAAGACTTATTTATTTTATGTTGGATGAGTGTTTTGCCTGCATTAATGTAAGTGAAGCAAAGCACATGCACACAGTACCTGAGGTGGCCAGAAGAATGGGCTGGACTCCCCTGGAACTGGTGTTAAAGCTTGTTTTCAGACATTATGTGTGTGTTGGGAACTGAACCCAGATCCTCTGTAAGAGCAGCAAGTGTTCATAACTACTGAGCCATCTCTCCAGCCCTTATTATTTATATACGTGTGCACATACATGTGTATAGGTGCCCAAGGAGGCCAGAGGAGGGCATCGGATGCTCTAGAGTTATAAGCAGTTGTGAGCCACCCCATGTGGGAACCAAACTCTGGTTTTCTGTAAGAGCATCAAGTGCTCTTAACTACTAAGCCATCTGTCCAGTCCCTGTTTGCTTGTTTTTGAGATAAGGTCTTATTATGAAGCCCAATCTGGCCTCAAATTTGTGGTTCTCTTGCCTCAGTCTCTTGGCTTTGGCATATAAACTTTTTTTTCCTTTGCATTAAAAAATTACTGTGCCTTTAATCCCAGCACTTGGGAGGCAGAGGCAGGTGAATCTCTGTGAGTTCAAGGCCAGCCTGGTTTACATAGTGAGTTCCAGGACAGCTGAGGCTACAGGAAGACCCTGTCTCAAAAAGACCCCCCCCCAAAAAAAAAAATTATGGCTGGGCATGGTGGCTCATGTCTTTAATCCCAACACTCAGGAGGCAGAGGTAAGCAGATCTTGTGAGATTGAGGCCAGTCTGGTATACATAGTAAATTCCAGGCCGGCTGGGGCTACAGGCAGAGCCTGACTTAAATATTTATTTATTTTTATTTATTTATTTATTTGTTTATTTATTGAGTGTATTTGGAGGTCAGAGGACAACTTGTGTTGAATCAGTTCTCTCCTTCTACCAAATGGGTTCAGGGATCAAAGTCAGGTCACCAGGATTGGCAGCAAGTGCCTCTACCCACCCCACTGAGCCACTGCCAGCCCAGATAAATAAAATCCTTCAGAGTATGGCTAGGGATTATGGATATTCTAAAGTGACCGGCATGTTATAAGAAAGAAAGCATAAATGGGGGGGGGGGGTTGTAACTGAACAGTTGGCTCCAGCCCCAACAGGGCAACCTGGAGCATATTATTTGGTCTTGCTGGGCCTTGCTCTCCATATGTAAAGTGGAAATAATAACCACTCCCACAAGATTGCTGTGAGAGCAGAGAGAACATAATGGCTATTAAAGTGCTTGTAAACCATCAAACCTCATATTTACATAGAAGGTATAAGTAAAGCAGGATAATGGAAAGTCAGCCCAAGTGCTGAACCTTGAGCACTGAGGAACGACCAAGGAGGCATATATGGCCAGTTTCTTACCCGGTGCTCTGCCAGGAACTCGGGGGTCAGGGTCCAGGGGGCGTTCCTCACCACCTCATCCACATAGCGGCAGTGCTGCACAGCATCATAGCGCTCATTCTCATTCATCACAGTGAAGCCTTTGAAGTTGTGTGTTAGCTCATCACTGCAGACTGGGTTCACAGCATCAGAAAGTTGTCAAACAGGTTGTAAGTCAAGGTTCCCTCTGGCTCCTCAGTCAGCAACGTCTCCCATCTTCCCCCACTTCCTAGGCCTGTAACCACCCCCCCACATCTGGAGAAAAATCTTCTGGATGTAGTTCAGTCTGGGTAACAATGTTTTTCCTGATCTGAGATCCACCTTCAGGAGTAACACTTGCTACAGTATGCTTACAAGCTCAGAGAGTAAAACAGGGACTCAGATCTTTGACTTGAACCTGCCACACATTTCCACAGCAGTGAAGTTTTAAAATTTTTTCCTTTTTTTTTAAAAAAAAAACCAGACTGGACCACATAACATTTGCTTGGCAAACATTTCTATTGATTCAAAAAAGATAAAGTGAAATCTAGAGCAAATGTTGTTCTAAGGTAGGCAACTGGGATGAGTGCTGCTTCCATCGCTGTAGAACTCATCTAAAGACAGCGAGACAACACAGGACATCTCAGTCACTGAGCCTTCAGTTGCTCGCTCCAGGCTGAGCTAGCACCTCACAGACTATATTTTAGACAGACTACACCACATCCTTCATTTAAAAATGAAATGAACCAATGCACTTAAGTTATACAGGCAGGAGACAAAAGGCTACTCTTTTTCTGGGCAACACCTAAAGTTGTCAAATGTTTCTCACCTCCCACAATGAGGTATGTATTAGGAAAGAGGTTCTTTGCTTGCATCAGAGCCCGGGCATGACCAGAATGAAATAAGTCAAATATTCCATCTGCATAGACTCTTACAGGCCGCTCACCTGAATTCAAACAAAAGAACTCATCACAAAAAATATATTTACTCAATCCCTCACTCTATGACTGTTTCATCCTTGTATAGGCCCTCTCTTGATATATTCTCTAAGAGCCAGGCCTGGTGACATAAAACCTTTAATCCCAGTCACTTTGGAGGCTGAGGCATGAAGACTGCCAAGTTCAAGGGCAGCCTGGATTACAAAGTGAGTTCAAAGATAGTTCGTCAACCCTCTCAAAATAAAAAATTATAAAAGATCTCAATGGTACAGCTCTTGTCTAGCATGCACAAGGCCCTAAATTCAATCCCAATACTATAAAAAAATAAAAAAGAAGTGTAAAAATAAGCTGTTTCTTTCTTTCTTTCTTTTTTTTTGGTCTTTTTGAGACAGGGTCTCCCTGTAGCCCCAGCTGGCCTGAACTTGCTATATAGACCAAGCTGGCCTTGAACTCACAGAGATCTGCCTGCTGCTGTCTCCCAAGTGCTAGGATTAAAGGCATAAAGGCATGTGCCACCACACCCAGCTGTTTTACTTTTTTTTTTCTTTTTTTCAAATAGTCTCAACAAACAAGTACAGAGAATGCCCTAGAAACACAAGAAAGGTTCAAAGACTAAGATAGTCCCTTAGCAAGACTGATGATTTCAGTCTCTGGTATTTGGAATTTAGACTGAAGTTCATGTTTTAGAAAGATTGAATGCTTCTTCCTTAAAGTTATCTTAGAAGTGATATTGAATATATATATATATATATACATATATATCCTAAACTTCAAAATCCTCACCTTAAAAAAAAGATTGATTTTATTTTTGATTATGTATGGGGGGCAATATGCACATGTGAGGTCAGAGACATCAGATCCCCTGGTAGTTGTGAATCACCTAACATGGGTGCTGGGAACTGAACTGGGGTCCTCTGCAAGAGCAGTACACACTCTTAACTGCTGAGCCATCACTCCAGCTCCAAAATCTCACCTTTAATTGATGACATTTCAGGTATGTTTAAACAGAATAAAACCAAACTCTAATCTGATTGCTTATTATCTCATCTCTGTTTGCCTTGATTAAGAACTAATGCTTTGCTTTAGAAATAAGCCTCCCTGCTCCCTAGAAAGTAATGAATGGTCTGAGAGCTATGACTGAAAGACAGAGGATTAATATACATGCAGACCAGTTATCAATTCATTGTGTCTCAATCCCCTTCAAATACTTTATCTGTGGTAACAGAATCCCATGAAACATTTCTCCTTCTGATAAGCATGATGCTATATTTTCTGAGTGATATATGAAGTACTTAAAAATAAAATATAGATATGTTAGGATTTTTCATCTCTCCATGAATGAAAATAAAAAAGATCAAGTGACCTTTAGTGATAGTAGCCTAGAAAAGAGAAGCCAGGAAATCACCTCCTAGGATATAACACTAATTCCAAAGCCAAATAAACACATCAACATAATTTTTATCATGCATCAAATGATAAATCTAAGGAGTCTAATGAACTTATTCTCACTATGCTAATAAAGAAGGATTATTTCACTGTGGCAGCAGGAGCCTTTACCCACTGAGCCATATTGCCAGTCTCAATTTTAGAATAAAGTAAAACACACTAATACAAGAAAAGCTGAAAAATAATACAATGGATTTTTTTTCTTTTGGTGCTAAGAATTAAACCCAGGGCTTCCTGTACCTGCTTTAGCACTAAGCTGTACCCTCTAAGAGTCAGAAAGGGTTAGCTCAATCTTCTCAACCAGCTTCTTTCCTCTATAACCTTGACCTCTATAACACTAAGTTTATTCATCCATCTATAGGGCAAAATAAAAAAAAAACATTAGTACAATCCCTTTTCTAAATTCCTTTTCTAAAACCTTGAGATCACAAAGTTACTAACATCCATTTTTCCTAAATGGAAAAGAATAGAATGTAAAAATTAAGAATATTTTATTGTTCAGCCAGGTCAAAGCAAGGAGAGGTTTAGCTCAGGAATCATATTGCTTGGATAGTGGCAAAAGCACAGAATATTACTGAATGGCTGTTTGCCAGAACAGTTAAACTTCTCACATGAGGACAAGTACATCACTGAATCTCTGCCCAAACCAACCTTACAAGTGTCTCCTGACCTCTGTGGTGTTTTTCCCCGGCCTCCCTTGATATCTCAGGTCCCTAAGACTTCACCCAGTCTTTGATAAAGTCAGGGCTGGTATATTAACCAAAAGACCAGAAGGGGCCACTGTTGTACTAGTCTAAGGAAAAAGCTGACACTAGCAATTCAAATAAACCACACCCTGACTGGCAACTGCAGTCTCAGATTACCTAAAGCAACTTCCCTCCCTGTCAGGACTGTAAATTAGACAGACGCATTACTTCTGGCTAAGTAAACAGATGCCTTCAGGCAGGCCAAACCTGGGTTTCAGTTCAATGTCTACTGAGATATCCTCTCAAATATCAATCACTCACCGTTTTTCCCTAACAGATTCCCACTGCCCTAAAGAAACCCTTACACACTTCCTCCTTTTTGAGTTAAACATAGTGCTGACTTATATTATCTTCCAAAAGTTTTCTGAAGCTGATATCATTTTTTTCTCTAACTAAAGAACTTTGTTCTAGATTACACAATCTCCCCTGTTAAGGTTCCTGAAATTTCCTGGCAAAAACCTGGGGGAGAAGGGCATGGAGGGAATATCCCTTGTGTCAGTTTTAGATTAAAATTCACTAACTGGCATGAGGAGATTCTTCATCCCTTGTCCTGCACTGACATGAATATAATCAGCTATTTCGTTATTTAACACAGAACAGACAACAAGAGAAAGATGTAAGAGAAAAACAGAAGTTAAACCAGACTGGTAAACTTTCTAGGGTAATTGGCCACTGTTCCATTTAAAGGGCAAGAGCTTCACCAAAGGTCTTCCACTGTTGGCACTAGCATCTCTACTGAGTAGCACCACTCACCCTGGAGTGTAAGAGCACCGAGAGGAAAAGAGCAAGGGTTTAGTTCCAGTTCTAGCACCATCTCTCTTTTGTGGAGGTTTTATTTCTTAATTTCTAAGGACCATAATTTCTTTCTTTCTTGATTTCTTCATATATAATATAGCAGATCATTTCAAGCATGACTTGGTTATAAAATTATATTCTAAAATTTTAAACAGATTTATTACAATTTATTAATTATAAGGTTCAAAACTTGGAAACACTACACACATTTTCTTTTCTGTTTTTTTTTTGTGAGCGTGCTGGAGGCTGAACTCAGGATCTCATGATGCTAAGTCCATGCTCTACCTCTGTGCTGCACCCCCAGCCTAGAAACACATTTTTGTCATGTCTCACAATGGCACATGGATAATTTAATAACAAGCTGGGTAATTTAAACAATGTGACCAGATCTGAGTAAGGCACTGAACTTTGAATATGTCATTACAGAGCACATCAAAAGTTCTTCCCTCCAACAGCTCCTACTACCACATCTGAATGTGACCCATGAACTGTCGGCATTCTGAAATTGACCTCTAGGCCAGTGAGATGGCTCAGCAGGCTTGCCTTCAAACCTGATGATGTGAGTTCAGTTCCCGAGACCCACATGGAAAAAGTAGAGAACCGACTTTCTGCAAGTTGTCCTCTGACCTCCACACTCGAACTGTGGTGGCATGCATGCCTATATATACATGCACACACAAAATAAATAAATAAATAAATAAATAAATAAATGCAATTTTTTGAAAAAGAAAGAGGCTGGGCATGGTAGCACATGCCTTTAGTCAGGTGGCTATCTATGAGTTCAAGGCCAGCTTGAGCTATATAGCAAGTTCCAGGCCAGTCACATAGTGAGGTCCTGTTTTGTTTTGTTTTGTTTTTAAAAAAAGGTAGGGAAACAAACAAGATCATGGGGCAAGAAGAATAGCTCAGTAGATAGAGTACTTGCCTACCATGAGCAAGGCCCTAGGTTTGATCTCTAGCACCATAAAAACAAACAGGATCATAACCCAGCTAAAGCTAGTATCTTTATTTTCTTTTCTGCCATGCTGGGGATCAAACCCAGGGACTTGGGCATGATAGGGATGGGGGGCACCCTATCACTGAGCGACAATCTCAGCCACTGGGTTAATAACTAGTTTTGTTTTTCTCTCTTTCATGATAACTATGACAATAACCCAGGAAAAATTTATAACAAGGAAAAAATTAACATTTTATAGAGAAGAGTTACTTTCCCTAACAGAACATCAAGGTGGCCTGGAATGCTAAAAACCTACAAAACACCAACAAAACCACAAAGCAGTTAAGTATTTACTTACAAGGAGTTCCTTTGCAGGCTTCTTCCATAGTTACCCTGACATAGGGCTTACTAAAGTCAACTTCAATTTCATCAGAAAAAGGAGCTGGCTGCCTTAAGCTCTGAAGAAGAAGTGAAGAAAAATTAAGTTAAATTTAATGGTATGCACTGAAATACTCCCCAAAAAGGTAATTTTAAAGAACAGTTATTCAAATGTTATACAGCAAAGCTAAAACAAGAGTGCAGGTAGGCTTATTTCTCAGTGCACGGCACAGACAGACACATACGCATAAAGTTTATTTATTTATTTATTTACTTATTTATTTTTGTCTTTTTGAGCCCTTCTCCCTGTAGCCCCAGCTGGCCTGGAACTCACTTTGTAGACAAGGCTGGCCTTGAACTCACAGAAATCCAGAGACAGGATCTCTTAAATTCCTGATCTTCCTGCCTATACCTCCTAAGTGCTGGGGTTACAGGTATGTGCCACCATGCCTGGCTTCACCTATTATGTGTAGTAGTAGTAGTTGTGCTGTTTTATTGATTCCTTAGGATTGTCTACATATGAGTAATATATGTGAATAAACACAATTTTACATACTTCTCAATCTGGATGTTTCTTTCTTCTAGCATAGCTTCTTGCTGTTAGAACTTCTGTTGTGTCAAGTTAATGTCCCCAAACAATCCTCAGTACAAGCTCATCTACTGTGGTCTAGTCAGCTTATCTAGGGTCCCTTGCTTTAGGAAGATTAGTTCTTCCTCACCTAGCAGTAATCAGTTGCCAATATTTCTTCAGCTAAGATTGGAGTCTGCTGTCCATTTCCCCAGTTCTATGCTGGGTTTTTTTCTGCCTGAGTTTGCATAAGACTGTGTACACTGACACCAGATGTTCTGTATGAAATACACAAAAATTCAATTAAAAAAAAAAGAATTTCTAGTATGACACTGAGAAGTGCAAAGATAAATATCCTTGCCTTGTCCCTAGTCTTGTGGCAGGGGAAGCATGCACTGTTTCACCATTATATATGATGCTAGCTGTAGGGTTTTGACAGATGTCCTTTATTAGGCTGCAGAATCTCCTTTCTTCATGCTATTTATCAAGAGTTCTTTTTAAATATTTTATTTACTATTTTTATTTTATGTGTATGAGTGTATTGCCTGCATGTATGTGAGTGTACCTGTATTGTGCAACGCTGTGGAGTTCAGAAGAGGGCTTTGGATTCCCCTGGAACTGGACTTAAGGACAGTTCGTAACGGCCACATGGGTCCTGGGAATCAAACCTGGGTCCTCTGCAAGAGCAGTCAGTGCTCTTAACTGCTGAGCCACGTCTCCAGCCCCTTATCAAGAGTTTTTATAATGAATGGCTACTGGACTCTTCTCAAATGCTTTAGTATTTTCCCTTTGCTTATTAATTACGGTGTATTATAGGAGGCCGTTAAAGCCATCTTGTGTTTCTCAGGAAATTAGTGTCAGTAGTGTTGTATAGGCTTTTTGTATTTCTGGATTCAATCTGCTACCCTATTAGTAAGGATTTTTGCATCTAAGTTTGTGAGGTTTTGTTGTTTTTTTTTTAAGAGCACAAACCTACATTTATTTATTTACTTTACTTTTGTTTAAATCTGTGAAGGGTACAGCATCACACAGATTCTGTGTCCAAAGGCTTCTGCAGGAAGGTTGCTTTGGAATTTGGCACGAAGCATGCCACTGTTCATGGACCTGAGTAACCTTTCCCCAGATTACTTTGGTTTAGTTTAGTTTGCCACCAGGAGGCACTGCTATTT